TCTCAGGAAAATCACAGTTTCCCACCAGTGACCTTTGAATTCTTGGACCGCCCCGCGGGGTCCAGCCCCTTGGTCACCTGAGCAGGGCGCTCGGTTAAGCGGCAGGGCGGATGTCGCTTCTGTGAAGGGCGCGTGCCCCACGACTGTCGTCTGTGATGCAGTCCGTATTTCAAGACTGCACGTTTTCAGGTTTCCCCCACTTTCAGTGGGTTGTTCGTACCCTCTGATGGGCTTCAGCTCTGTGTCAAGAGAGACTCGGGCCTGGATTTTAACCAGTCTCGCTCTGCCTTCTTTCCTCAAGAGGTGTCTTTTGTCGGATATGCCTGTGATGGAGCCGCCGGGCGGGGGGCCGTGCCTGGCTCCCACTTCTGTGCAGAAGGTGGGAGCAGCGTGTGTCCATTTGCGATTGCTGTGGGACTTGTTCTGCCAAACTCAGCAGCTGGAAGCAACCCAGATGGGAGCTGTCACCCTTGCTGGGAGCCAGAACCAGGGAGTGCCAGCGCGGGCTGGCTGGGGCTCTGCCCGGGGTAGCCCCGGCTGCGGCCCCGGTGTTGTCCGAGGCTCAGTTCTCTTCTGGGCTCATTTGGGTTCTTGCTAGAATTCGGCTCCAGGGGTGGGGGGCCTGTGAGACCCCGGGCTCTTGCTGGCTGATGGCCAGGACCACTGTCAGCCCCGGGCCGTGGTCATGTGGCTCTCCACTGCTGTCTGCTTGTCCGTGTCTGACTTGCTGTCTCTGTCTTAGGCCCCGTTTACTAGGCTCCTGTGGCTCCGTCAGGCCCCTGCCTGCTGACCAGCTCATCGTCCATGCCACCTGCAGGAGTCACTCCTGTGTATGCTCAGCCCCCGCCTCACTCGGGGGGCTGGCAGGGGCATGCACACCAGGGCTGGGGATCTGGGGGCTGTTTCTCAGGATCCTGCCCCCACAGCAGGTGACACCTGTCCTGAGAAGGAAGATCACGTGGGCAAACGAAACAGCGCCACTTCCTAAACCTGCTGTAACAAATACCTGGTACTGATGGGGCGATTTTACACCTTGTGCCTCGGACCCAGTGGCCCCTAGAGGGGGGCTGCACCTGCCTGGCTGGGGAGTTTGCAGGGAGGCTGTGGGGTGACACGCACTCCGGAGACTTGTCCTGTGGGGAGGGAGGGTCACCTGTCCTGTCCACCCTGAACTGCCTCCACTGTGGCCGTTCGCCTGCTGCTTCTGAAAGTCTGTAAAGGAGCGTTCTTAGGGGCCACTGCTACCGTCCAGTCCTGTGTCAGTGGGGTTTATGTCTGTCTTCTCTGCGGTGCTTCTCCCGTGCACAGATTGGGGGCGGACCCAGGCCCTGGAAGAGTCTCCCCGTGCAGTGCCCCTCTGTCACCTCCACTGCCCCCCGTTTTCCGTCCCTGTGGCCTGGGGGCCGCCTCTTCCAGCTGGAGTCAGGGGAATTGAAGTTATTAGCTGCTAGTCTGCTCCGGCCGCCAGAACAGAGCACCCCAGACTGGGCGGCTTGCATCACAGAGGTTTATTGTCTCTCAGTCTGGAGGCTGTAAGTCCAAGATCACGGCGCCGATGGGACTGGTGTCTCCTGAAGCCTTTCTCCTTGGCTCCTCCGACAGCCGTCTTCCCACCGTGTCCTCACGCGGTGGTTTCTCTGTGCACACACATCCCTGGTGTGTCTTCCTCTTCTTAGAAGGACTCCAGTCCCATTGGATCAGGACCCCACCCTGTGATCTCATTTCTTCTTAATCACCCCTTTGAAGACCGTATGTCCAAACACAGTTGCTGGGGAAAAATAAACATACCTTCCCACATGGAAAGGAAGGCTACTGATGTGTAATATGTTATGTTAAATGTAACGTATCTAGTATACATGTATATATGCACACATGGAATATGATATACATAAACTATACACTATATATTATTAAAGAATGTATACAACATACATACAATAAAAGTGGGTAAGAGTAATGCGGGCAGGGACGTGGCAGGGAGATCCAGGGTCTAGACTCAGTGCTGGGCGCTCCAGCTGGAAGTCTGGGGCTTTGATGAGAAATCTTTGGTCTGTCTGTCGAGGCGAGGAAGGGGTTCTGGGATGCTGCTCTTTCTCAATGAATTCCTGATTCTGGGTGTTAAGGGTCCTGCCGCTTGGGGAGTTCCTGGGACCTGTAGGGCCTTTTCCTTGAAGGCATCCTGAGCTGCTCTGCGTCTGCTTCCTTTGCTTTCTGGGGCTGGGGTGGGTCCTCCACCCTGAAGACTTCTCATCCGTCGCTCCGTGTTTCCAGGGTCAAGTTCCTCCACCAGTTACTGTCTGAAAAACGTGCTCTGCTCTGGTGGGCAAACTCATGTCCTAAGATTTCAAGGCAGATGGAAACTGACCTTATTTGTGATGAGTTCTGTAAATGGAATGTCGTTAAGATAAACTGAACCCAGACGGTCTCTCTCCCCCGCCTCCCCCAGCCCCGTGGACACCCTCTGCCTGTCCCACAGGGCTGGAGTGGGACCACCGGTCTCCTGACAGCTTGGGTCACACCGCAGCCTCTCCAGCTCATTCCCAGCATGCGCATGCCATCTCTGCGACTGCACAGCGATGTAGCTTTTGGAAATGTCTGGAAAGGATGAACCCTTTTGAATTCCTCTGTGCTTATGGAGCTAACAGTCACAATGATGTAAAGTCAAGGTCTGACCTTTAGAAAAGGAGATAGGACCATGGTTAAGTGGTGTTCCGTCTGTCAGTTGTCAAGGCTCTCCATCTGTCTCCTGGAAAGGGGTCAGACTGGGACAGGGAGCGAGCAGCTGCCCTGGGGCGGGGGCCGGTGGGACTTGTCACAACTGGAGAATGCTTCCCTTGAAAAGCACCCTGGCCTTGCAGGGAGTTGCAAAAGTACCTTTGTGTTCACCTTAGAGGCTTGAGTCTGCAGCCCCCCTGGGGCACTCACTAGTGCTTTGGTCTTGCCTGGCATGCATTTTAGAGGACAGAACTGTGTCTAGTTTATCTTTGTTGGCTCTGTAGCCACCACACGACGGTGGATCTTGAATTAGAGGAGCATGAGAAAATAGAGGCTGACAATGAAGGGGCTACTTCTGTCTTCAGCATCTGGGGCAGCTGATGGCTGGGAGCCCTGGGAAGTTTGCCACAGTTCCCCTAAATCCACAGCGTGGAATAAGATAGAGGTCTGACACTCTTAGGACTTCTCGCTCAAAG